TACAGAATATATTTAAATTACCTTTGCATCTCTTCAAGACCAAAAGAAAGTGGTTCACACATAGATCTATCGCTCTTCATAGAGATCCAGCCAGGACCTGTGGGCTTAGTTGCACTCATCTGTGAACTAAGAAAAGATAATCTATTAAAAAACAAGCAAATGACCTTTATTAAAAAACTGTCTGATATTTCTATGCATGAGCTGCATGTGTTAAACATTCATTGATGTTTGGTTAATATACATATTAGTAGTCTATGTTAGACGACCTGCTGGATGAAGCAGGGCACTAATGATAAGTTAATGCAGTCAACTCGAATATTCTGATGCTGCTGCTAAATCCACATGATAAAAAAGGTGACTGTGGATCTGTAAAAAATCGGATAAAAATCAAAATATTGTGTCACATCATTTCATACATACATATACATGTAGATCCCAGGGGACATTTTTTTGTATTTGAGAGCTGTTTAAATGTGTAATTTGTGGTTGATTTTATTTAGCTGAACTATTAATATTGTATATGTGATTCACTGAACAATCCATTGTACTGTGGTCTTTTAGATCTGCCTCAGTAAGTTATTTATTTTATATGTTTGTACTGTACTATGGACCTTCCCTGTGTCTGGAATAAAGATTGATTGATTGATTGATTGATTGATTGACTGATTGTTTACAGAATCTGAATCTCACTCTGAGATACTGTTGTTCACAAACTAAAGAAATGAGAGATCATTTATGTTTTTACTGAATATTTGAAGCAGACTGTAACACCAACATATTCTCATTTTGACCTCGTCACATATTGAAGTTTGGCTGTGGCCTTTCCAAGTCCACATACAACATGCAAGGTACCCTGGGTGCGTTGGTTGTTGACCTTCTGGGACACAGTGCCAAGTTCTCTTCTTTGAAGATACACTTCTGTTTTCACTGGAAATTTGACATTCACATACAGTCTCTTTCAAAATAAACGCACTACGTCGGTACAAAACTGCAAATTGACTTTTTTTTTCAACAACAAAAACACTTTTAGGTTTAGGAAAAGGCAACAGGGTTATGCTTTGGAATGTAACGGGACGCGAACACCGCTCTCTCGGGTGAAAGTTGGTGTTCGTTGGACCCATCCACCACCACTCCCACACACCCCTCTTGGACACTCTCTGCCTAAACTTTCGTCCTTGTCCCCCTCCCCCCCAATGCCGTTTAACTACAATGCCGACGTTAAAGGACGCCTTTTTTCGTTGGTTTCTGATGCTGCAAGTCACTGCCCAAGCACTGGATTTCGACGACTTCTGAGTGAGAGCGGGCTCGTAAAACCATATCAATTACTTTGTTGCAATTCTATGCTCTTAAATTAAAAATTTTACATTATAACTAATTTGTCATATCATCAAGAAAAAATACCCTGAAATAGCGTCATATTATTTTCGAGCCATAATCGCCCAGCCCTAATAAGCACAGGCAGTATTGTGTATTTCAGTTGAATGCACCACACACTGCAAAAAGTTAAATGTTAAATCTTAAAATGGAGTAAAATACAGTACACTTTGATAATGGAAGGAACAAAGTGTCTGGAGCACTGAAGCAGCATTTTATACAGGCAAAATGTCGACATCTGCTGGACATCTTTAGGTACTGCAAAAAGATTATACACGTCCTGCATGTGCGACTTTAAGTTGCTGATCATCATCGTGATAATTTAAACCCCAGCCTATCTATTGATGATCAGCCGAACACTGTATCATTACCTGACAGACGGCTCGCTGCAGGAGCCCATCGGCTCCTCGAAGGAGTCATTAGACGATAAAGAGGCGTCAGGTCGTTTCCTCTTGCTCTCAGCCATCCCTGTTCAGTTTTCAATAGGTCTGTAAAGGACACAAATGTTTATATGGACAAGTTGCTGCACATTAAGAGCTGTTTTCAGGCGGTTTACCATCTTTCCTTTGTTTACTGTGTAAATTCTGCGTCTGCTTAATGACAGGAATATGGAGGAAGGGCGTGTTTTTTCCACAGACTGTGGAGCCTGCTGCCCAGTATACATATATATATATATATATTTTGGAAGCTTATGACTGAAACAAGTCGGAGTTTGTTTTAATTTTAATTGTTTAACTCCAACTTGTTTCAGTAATACACTCACAGCAACCTGTACAGCGCTGCAAATGTGGCAGGCCACAGATGCACACGTGGAGGCGGGTCACAGAGACGGAAATAACCGCAAACTACACGGACCTGGCAACTTGTGACACTTGATAGGTAAGATCGGAGGAATCATAAATGGCCTACTTACTTGTTGGGGGAGGAACTTACTTCGATGTCTTCGTTTTCTTCGAAGCAAATGAGCTGTAGTCGTCTCGCAGCAGCACGAACACAAAGGATGACGAGCATATCCAGGAAGTTACTTTCACGTTTGATGTAATCAGATAGACAGGATGTAACTGCGGTGGTTGAATGTAACGAAGTACATTTTCTCAAATACTGTATTTACTAGTATTTTACTTCAGTGTTTCGATTTATTTATGCTATTTTTCACTTCTGCTCCACTAAATAGATACTCTTCTTTCACTGCACTATCTGTCTGACAGCTGCAGTCACTTCGCAGATGACAGTTTCTCATCCCCTTCTTGTCCAGTGAAAACCATGCATCTCCAGATGTGTTGATGTTGAATGTTTGTGATAAACTGAAGGGTGAAGTGTTCCTTTTATGTTCAGAAAATTGCCCCTTCTTTTTAAGCTAAATCAACAAATTAAAAACTCTCTGGGATCAGTTTGAAAAGTCGTCGTCACAAAGCTGAAAACAGGCTCTTTATCTGACTTATTAGATATACATGGTTCTCACAGGACAGCCACGCTGCTAACATATGATTATCTTGTAGAATATGATGCATTGCTGTAGATTAAACTCCCCAACAGTAAAGAAAGGAGTTAAAATGCATCACAGGCATTAATGCAGCAGGAATATAAATCCAGAGACATCAGACAGAGAAAGACAGACAGCATGAAACATTCACTGCACTATCATTACTTTCACTTTTGATATAAGTACATTTTGCTGGCCCCTTTTTTGTAAGTGGTTTTGTGTGCGTGACTTTTACTTGTAACTGATCCTTTTTTACAGTGTGGTTTGCTTCAGGACAGGATCTGAGTCAGTGAATTATTTACAGTGAGTCTGCAGAGTTTCTTTGTCTGCAGAAAACATACAAATGTAGATGATAATATGGTGACATCTAGTGGAGGGAAATAGTCACAACTATTGAACACGTACAGTGACGACAGACTGCGAAGCAAGATTTGGAGTTGGCGAGGTAACTTCAGGGTTAACTCTGGGTTTTTTGACCATGACAATCTACCTCAACAGCAAGAGGCTTATTACCTTATTACCTCTCTACATTTTAAATCTGCTTACATATCATACTAGCGTTCACAGCACACGTTCATCAGACAAAATACTATTAACCACTCCTTCAACAAGAGCAGAACTTGGTAAAACAGCTTTCTCTTCATATGCACCATACGCCTGGAATGAACTCCAAAACACCTTAAATCTGGAGTCACTTCCACTTTTCAGCATATTTAAAAACCTTTTAAAATCAACCATTACTGAACAGTGTCACTGCTTCTCACATGGTGCCTTTCAATAGTATGTCTGTTTTACCTTGTGCCTTACTGAGTGTAATGTGTTCTCATTGACTTTGTGTTCTAGTGGTTTTAGTATGTGTCCATTGTCTTTTGTGTACTTGTAACTTTTGCTGCCAGTCTTGGCCAGGACTCCCTGGAAGAACTCAATGGGACCCTTCCTGGTTAAATAAAGGTTAAATACAATAAATAAAAATTGGATTTACTAGTCCATACCCATTGAGTGCACAGCATACCATACCATGACTTAGTCATACAGCCACAGGGGGAGCCACAGTGATCGGTCACATTTTAGCCATTTTTAAGCATTTTTCTGTTGTTATAGCGCCACCCAGTTGCCAATTAGAGTTAAATTTCTCCAGTCACCTTGAGGCGTCCTGTTCTACATATCTACCAAGTTTAGTAAAAATCCATCTGGCGGTTAGACCTAGATAAGAAATGAGCTCTCTAGCGCCCCCATTTTGTTTGATGGGGTCAATAATGGAGGGGTCCCCTCAGATTATGTGTGGTCATATGCCTACAAAGTTGCGTGGTGATGGGTGAAACCCTTGAGATGTTATACACCTTTATGTGATGAGCCACGCCCTCTGCAATATTCATTGCCTTATAGAAGCTCAGTTTTAGTAAGTTTTCCAACTTTTGCCAAGAGGGAACTTTAGATATTGGTCCCTAGATTATGTTCACCCAGTTTCATGCAGATCGCTCAAACTTCCTAGGAAGAGATCCATTTGAAGTGTTTTTCAAAAAATTCAAAATGGCGGAAAATCTATATAAGCTGAAGTTATGGGTTCTTGAGGCAAATGTGTTCCTCATGAGGAGAGGCATCTCTGTGCAAAGTTTCATGTCTCTACGACATACGGGGCATGAGATATGCCCATTCAAAGTTTGACATTTCAATTGGTTGCTATAGCGCCCCCCTTTGGCCAATTGATGTAATATTGCTTCATTCACATCCTCCCATGACCCTCTACCACTGTGCCAAATTTCACATGGATTGACCAAGTCAGTGTGGAGAAAAACATGAAACAGACACACACACAGAGTTTTCATCATAGTATTTGTAAGATACTGTTGAAACATTGGCTGCATGATGATTTCCCTCTCAGTGTCTTCCTGTGATCCTGTATATACTTAAAATTCTTTGAAAATGTCTGACATTTGTTTTCTGTAAATTGTCTCCTGAGTACTCTTCTTTTTAAAAGAAAGATTTGCTCCAGGCGTCCCTTGCTCACCTCCATATATTCGTGTATACATGTTGATATGTGCACGTTATCAGGTTCATTTACCAATGTGACCAGGGCCCTATTTCAGAAAGCAGGATTAGTGATAACTCTGAGTATGTTGAGCCTGACATGCAGTGTAAAATGATGAGTTATAATGAAGCTGACCTGTGAACTTGTGTTTGATATTGGCACCATTAAGTCATGTTTAATGTGTGTTTAATGTGTGTTATAGGTGTGTTTTAGATCAAACTTTACAGCACTTCTCAGTAACCCTCCGCCCCCTAGTGTTTTGTACATGGCCTCTGCATGAAGCCTACACACAACTAGAAATCAGCCCTTAGTGGTACAGACACCATGAATATCCACAGCTGTGTGTGATGACAGCTGCTCTGTTGGAGAACCTCCGATGTTGATGTGACACAGTTGGTGAAATAGCACTTCCTCTTGCTGTTCTTCATGTCGACAGGTCTAATGAGTCGAAGAGACTGATTTACAGAATGATGTTTAAATGAAGCCTAGTGATCCATTTTCTTTACTTCCTGACCCCACTAGATGGAGCTCTTCATTCAACAAAGGGTCGAAAGCAGTGAACCACAGTTCCTTGAGCCTTTTTCTGTAATCCAAGAGCGCCATCTAGTGGGCTCAGACAATAAAGACAAATAGCTCCTGAGGTTTCATCTGGTCATCACTAGTGTCCACATCCAGAAAGTGAGGCCTGTGAACGTGCACCTGGTTTCACAATGATCAAGATGTATGAAATGGAATCAGGAGTA